TGTTTGACGTGTCTAGCATGTTTTTGCCTCTCTTGTCTCTGTCTTCTATTTTCCCTCTCTTCTGGCACATTTCAAGTACTCATTGCTGCCCCTGAGATGAGGCATCTTTTTAGTAAGCTTCCAAGTAGTCTATAGAATATCATCCAGGATGGGATTTGCTAGGTGATCACTCAGTACTGGAAAGAATAGTGACAAGTGAATATAAAGAAGGGGGGAGAGGCTGGAGAGATGGCTCAGCGGTTAAGAGCACTGGCTGCTCTTCCTAGAGGTCCTGAGTTCAATTCCCAGCAACCACATGGTGGCTCACAACCATCTGTACTGAGATCTGGCACCCTCCTCTGGCATGTGGGCATACATCGAGGCAGAATGTTGTATATATAATAAATAAATAAATCTTTAAAAAAAGGGGGGGAGATTTAAAAGACCAATTATTTTTAATTCACTTTATTTTCATATGTATGGGTACCTGTAGAAGTTAAAAGAGGGTGTTAGGTCCCCTGAAGCTGGCGTTATAGGTGTTCGTGATCGTGAGCTTCCTGACAGGTGCTAAGAACCTGGCTTGGGTCCTCTGGAAGAGTAATAAGTGCTCTCAACCAATGAGGAGCTCTTCAGCCCCTAAAGTTTTTTTTTTTCCTGATTTTTGGGAGGTAGGGTGTATCTCTGACTATGAAGACCAGTCTGAGATCCTCCTGCCTCTGCCTCCCAGAGTGATGGGATTTAAAGACGTGTAATTTTAATTTGGGGAGGGGATTGTTTGTTTTTAAGATTTTGAACTAGGTGTGATGGTACATGCATTTAATTCCAACACTCTGGAGACAGAGGCAGATGAGTCTCTGAGTTTGAGGACAGCCTGGTTGGTCTACAGAGTGAGTTCCAGAACAGCCACAGCCAGGGCAACACAAAGAAACTGTCTTGAAAAAAAAAATAAATAAAAGAAAGAAAAGCCAAAAGATTAATTTTTAATGATGTGTTTGTATCAGTGTGGGGGAACTTGCTGGTGCCCATGGAGGCCAGTGGCATTGGATCCCCTGGAACCGGACGGGTATTTGTGAGCTACTTGACATGGGTTCTACTAATACAGCAGCACACGCTCTTCACGGCTGAATCATCTCTCCAGTCCTATGGTTTTTACTATAGAAAGAATGTAGCATGGGGCTTCAGGTGTAGCTCAATGGTGGATTGCTTGCCTGTTACGTGTAAGGCCCTGGGTTTGTTCAACAAAGCAACAAGTAAATAACGTATTGGTAGAAAAAAAGCAGGGAAATTCTCATATGTCTTTGCAACTTGTGTGCAAGCCTCCACACAACTGATCCCTGCCAGTTAAACTCCGACTTCACGGCAAGAGCTGACACCTGCTTGGAAATGTGGACGTGTATTGTAATCACTTGGGCTTCTGTCTCATTTTACGGAAGGGTATTTCAGGGCTCCAGGGCTGGTGTTTGCTGTCACCTTATTCCAAAGACTCTGCTCTCTGCTGCCTCTTAGCAGTTCCTGGAAGGCAGCTCCTACCAAACTGTGCAAAGTAGAAGACTGGGTCCATCCTGCTTGCCTCCAGAAGGAAGAGGAAACTAAGGTGTATGAAAGTTTAAAGGAGATCAGGTCGTGGTGGCTGCTGAGCAATCCTGATGGGCAAGGATTTTATGTTCCTGATTCTTGGATCTTTGCCCGAAGGTGCCACAAGTACAGAGGAAAGGCATGCGATACCTGCAGCAAAGTGTATAAAATGCCTATAGAAGTATCAGTGTAGAGGGGACATGTCCATGTCGCCAGGGCAAGTCCTATCCCTTCACCACGGGACTAGCAGTCCACCAGATCTGCTGGCCCCCAGTCTTATCTTCTGGCGCTCCCCTCTCCATATTGGTAGGATCCCTGAGAAGCAGACTGTGCCTCCTGATTGCCCCTCAGGGGCCGTGCACGGGGAAGATGTATATACACATAGTTTAAGTGTGACAGCGGTATGCCTGTGCTGCCAAGTAAGGCACTTGGCTTTGCGTTAGCTCCCTGCAGCTCTCGTGGTGCCCACAAATAGATCAACGTCCATCCCCCACCCTCCCGACCTGGAGCCGCCAGTTCACTAGATGGTGTGCCGGAGGAAGGTACATGGAAGGCTGGTTCTGAGAAAGGTTCAAGAGCTTAAGAATTGTTAACAAGGAGTTGAGACCATTTTGGTAGCTAAAAGCCAGGACCATGTGGATGGGGACCAGAATGGAAGAGATCATATATTCAATTCAGTGCTGTTCAGAAGCATATGTAGGCTACTTTATTGGCACGCTGTATCTGTGACATTAATAAGATTAGCTGTAAGGGGGATAGTTCCTCATCAGATTGGAGAGGTATTTATAGCTCATTTCCTAATTATATAATTCAAATGGAGTAGTAGGCAATAATAATACAGTAATAGCTTAGCAGTCTTGTCACTTAAGTGTGTTTAGGAATGACAGGTTTCTTTTTCTCTCAAGCATGAGGTACCGAGTGCATTGTTCAAACATCTGGCATCGAGTTCTCATCATATCCTAAAGAAAAGCCACAAATGCGGAATTTTATTTATAGTAATATTCTCTCTTCTGTGTGTGTGCATGCGCGCGCATGAGAGAGGTGTCAGATAAGCTATTGATCATATAAATCATATTTTCCCTTAGAAGATAAATCTAGCTTTTAAATGTGTTCAGCTCCTTTTTAGGAGCAAAGCAAGTAGGAAAGCTACAAGTTTCTAAGATTCTCTTTATTGCTGGTGTTTCAACCTGCATCTCTCCTCTCCCAATGCTTTTTATTTTTTTAAGCGGGGCTTGCTATATAGCATAGCCTGGCTAGGGACTTGGCATCCTCCTGCTTCAGCCACCCAAGTCCCCGGATTGCACTGCCACCCCTGGCTCCAGCTGCTTTCTAATAACAGCTGTGGTACCCTGTCCTTTTCACAATCAGCCTTCTTTTGCTTCTTTTCCTAAATGACTGCCAACTCCCAGGTCTGCTAGATTGGTGCTGACGTCACAGCACCTCTACTGCTTGAGTGGCATGGATTTCTTCAGCTTGTTTCAAGTTCGAGAGGACGTAGAAGCAGGGTTAACATAACCTACGTGGGGATAAAAAGACCATTTTCACTCGCCTGTGTTTGCTAAATCAAGTTCATTTCGATTTTTGAGACAGGGTCTCGTGGAGCCCAGTCTGACCTTAGACTCTCTATGTAGCCAAGGATGGCTTTGAAAGTCTCATCCTATCATCCCTACTTCTTGAGTGCTGAGACCACAGGCATGTTTTACCATGTCCTAACCCCAGGCTTTGTGCACGCCAGGCAAATGTTATACAAACTGAGTGGACATCCATCTTCAGCCCCCTCTATGGCGCGCGTTCATGAGTGCATGTGTGTGTGTGTGTGTGTGTGTGTGTGTGTGTGTGTGTGTGTGTGGCACGTGCACACATGCCTGTGGAGACCAGAAGAGGATGTAGGATCCCCTGGACCTGAAGTTAAAGGCAGCCATGAGTGACCTGAAATGAATTGAACTCTGGTCCTCTGCCAATCAGGAAGAACTCGTAACCTCTAAACACCTCTGCAGCTCCCTCCTTCGAACTCCGTAATTACAGCTTGCCTGTATCTGGTTTTCCTGTGTTACATACAGTTCTTTTTTTTTTTTTAATATTTATTTAATATTCTGTCTGTGTGTATGTCTGCAGGCCAGAAGAGGGCACCAGACCTCATTACAGATGGTTGCATGTGGTTGCTGGGAATTGAACTCAGGACCTTTGGAACAGCAGGCAATGCTCTTAACCACTGAGCCATCTCTCCAGCCCCGTTACATACATTTCTTATCACTAACTTTTAACCTACAAGTTTAACTTAGAATTTTATCAGTTTTGTGTCCCAAGAATTTATTCCTTATCAAGTCTTGGTGGAATAAGTCTAGACTAGAAATCTTAGGAAGGGAAAATATATTCCTAGAAAAACCATCCCCAAGTGGACATCCGAGATTAACCCTCCCAGAGATCTTGGTCCCCTCAAGAAAAAGGGAAGGGGCTGGGCGGTGGTGGCGCACGCCTTTAATCCCAGCATTCGGGAGGCAGAGGCAGGCGGATCTCTGTGAGTTCGAGGCCAGCCTGGTCTACAAGAGCTAGTTCCAGGACAGGCACCAAAAACTACAGAGAAACCCTGTCTCGAAAAANACCGGTCTGAAACAGCACAATTACCAACACTCAAGAAACTTGGCTGTTGTTCTCTCGAGCTCCACAATGCTGACCTCCTGAATCCCAGACTGTTTGCAGTTTGAGAAGTATATATAAAAGAAAAAGGGAAAGGGTCTTGTTCTTACACGTTCCTGGGGCTCCTGAGCTCTGTGCCAAGAAAAAGCCTGGAGGAGGCTGGGATATCATTTACAGGACCTTAGCTGAAGCTCTTGAAAACACCCCCAAGCCACTGGCGCTGAGCTGTGGAAGCCACACCTTGTGTGCACAGAAATGTACTTGGGCTGTTGTTTTTCACCCAACGCGACACCTTCCTGCTCCGGAGTGTGGACTCTGCCAGCACCCTCTGCTCCAAATGGGGCTGGAATGGCAAGTGCTCTTATCTCTAGCCCCGCTTGAGAGGAACAAGGTGAGCAACCCCCAAGGAATGCTAAAGGAAGCTGTGCTTCTAGGTGAGACATTAGACGGGCTGTGTTCTATACGCCCCTCACCTGTGCCCTATGAATGTGAATGACCACATCCCTCCAGCAGACCTCAGCTTGGCCTCTGCAGGTCTGGGGTCCTGTTTGACAAAGCTGGTTTTGTTTCAGTTTCTTACCATATACATAATTTTCTCTCTGCCCAGGTGTGGCTCCCGAGGCAGAGGTAGGTAGATCTCTGTGAGCTGGGTGCCATCCTGGTCTACATAATGCCAGGTCAGCCAGAGCTAGACACTGAGACCTGTCTCAAAATATTTTTTTCCAGATGACCCCTTATGATTCTGTACAGTTATGGGTCTTGCTTTTTAAATTTATCTTTAGTTATGGAGGGAGAGCGGGCATGTGCATGCGAGTGTATTTTGCCCACAGAAGCAAGATATCCCTGTAGAGTTGGTTACAGGTGGTTGAGAGCCGCCTGATGTGGGTGATGGGGATCGAACTCGGATCCCCTGGAAAAGGAAATACGTGCTGCTCACCGCTGAGCCATCTTTTCCACCCCCATCAATCTTTCTTTGAAAATAAACTGTCTACCTTGTCTTTAATGTTCGAGAGGAATTTATGGTGGGCGCCTCGCGTTTTCAAACGGGTTTTTTTTTGCGACTGTGAGTCTCAGGAAATGAGGGATCCTCTCCCCTCTTCTCCTTTCGGTCCTCCTGCTCTCTCTTGCTGGTCCCTCTACCCAGACCCTGATGTCATTATGCCGCGGGGGTTGCGTACGGGGCGGGAGCACGAAGGTCTCTTCCAGGCGGCCGGGCAGTCTGCTGGCAGGTGGCTGGCTGGGTTTGCCCCGCCCCCGGCCCTCGCCCCGCCCCGCTGCTCCGCTCGCATTGGCGCGGCCAGCTGTCTCTCTCCGCACTGGGGAGGGGGCGTGCGGCTGCGGTCCCTCTGCAGAGGGCTACGCGCTCCGCGGCTTCCGGAGCTCCCCGTTGTTTGGGCCCGTGCGCCTCGACCTCGGGAGCAGAGCTGGCCCGAGACCGCGGCGCTCTGGGTAAGTAGAGGCAGGACCAGAGGCTCTGGGTCAGGATCGGATGCACTGAGTCCCTAGTGGGCAGGTGACGGCGGCGGCAGAACCAGGGTCCGGGTCACCAGACAGCGAGGGGCGCGGACTGCAAGGTCGCCTGGTCCTCAGGCGTCTCCAGGTGGGTGACTCTGGGCAGTTCTGCCGCCCGCTCGCTTCGCACGCGGTGCTGCTGGAGTCTTGGCAGCGGCTACTTAGCCGTTTTCCTTCTTCAAGGCTTTTTGGGGAACTGTGATTCTCGGCTCCGGTCTATGATAATTCTGCAGCTAGCTTAAAGCTGGGCTATCTCTTCCATGCCTCCGGTGTTTTCCTTGCTGAGCACTTTCTCCTGAGCCCTGTCTCTTGCACAGGGGTGTCAAGCCTGGAGGATGGAGTCCTTCCTCCAGCAGGAAGCTTAGCGGTTCGTGTCTGGTGCTGGGAAAGGTTCCTTGCTCTGCTTGGATAGTGATTGCTCTTTGCTGCCCAAGGAGGGGTAAGGGTGGCGGTTGTTTTCTGTGGCCTTAGACGTGAGATTCTGCCAGCGAAGGAGAGCAGGGACGTTAAGGTTTCCAAGGCGATCGTGCTCCACTCGAAGGTAAAGGCGAATCATTTGCAGTCTTAACCGTCTGCAAAGTTTTAACTCCTGCTGGCTGCATCCTTTCCCTGCCTGGGATACACTTGTTGGGGTGCTCATTTCTACAGTGATGCACATTCAGAGAAGCCTCTCCTGCAAACCCCTGGGCCATTCGGTTAGTTTCAGATACTTTCCGGATATGATGGCATTTGAATATTTCTTCTATCCATACATCCTCTGCTTAGAAGGAATGCTTGCTCAGGCTTGGAGCCGTTAAGACTGGGCTCTAGTGCTTATAAAGGGTTCATGAGGAGAGACTGTACGCGGTTTTTGGTTCCATCATTATTCTAGAATTTTATATTTCTGTGTAGGAAGTTGAAACGTGTAATACCTACCCTAGAAAAAAAAATCTCCTTAGATCTTAAAATGATTTTTCAGGGCTCCAGTTCTACAGAGAATTAGGAGCTGGTACCCAAATGAGAGAGCAGTGAGAAATTTACATGCAAGCAGAATAATTTGCCTAACTCAGGACCTCTGTCAACTAAAATCCATAGAATTGTTGTGTGATCACCCTATGTCCCCATTCTTTAAGCCATTCTGTTCTGTAGATTGGTATTTTGGGGTGGCACTGGGGATCAAATCCCTTACCTCGTGGCATGCTAAACCAGTGCTATCTGATCTCTGTGCCCAGATCCAAAGCATAGTTTCCCCCTTTTTCTCTCTTGAGATAGGGTCTCGTGTAGCCAGCACTGGTCTCGACTGCACTGTCTAGCTGGGGATGACCTTGCCTGATTCTCCCGCCTCCACCTCCCACACGCCCGAATGGCAGTCCGTGCACCACCACGACCAGCCTCGGGTGCGTGTTTTAAAGCGCTCCACTGTCTCACGGAACTAAAGCACAGGCTTCAGAAGCCAGGCAGTCTCGGGCTAAATCTGAGCACTGTGGCTGACTAGCTTTGTAATCTCAGGCAGGCTGCTTCACTGCAGATGGAGAGATCTCACCACCACCTCCTCTCTCCGGGATACCGTGGTGCAGGTTAGAGACGCGCGTGGACGTGCTCCACGCCGCCTCGTACACAAGAGTTGCACAGCCAGTGCTGGCTATGACCTCACTAACTTCCCTCCAGCTCTGCGCGGTTACAGCGGGAAAGTATGAGAGGCAGACGCTTGTGGGGGGGAGATGTCAGAGTTACACAACGACTTGAGGACGGGAGAACGACAGCAATGCTGGGTTTTTCTGGGTGTGTATGGAAAGTAGCACCTCCTCGATGGGATGTACATTTTTAGAACAGAAACCGTATGCTACAATAGAAAGAACACCAGAGAGTCAAGATTTCTGCTGCTAACTCTGGCTAGGCCCTCATCTCGCCTAAGGCTTTCTGCAAGCCCACCACCCACTTGGGAGCTCAGTTCTGTCATTGGGCTCGACATGATTAGTCTCGAGCCATCTCTAAGCCCCTCGCAATACCAACCAACCAACCGTTCTTCCCCGGATGTGACGAGAAAGAAGTCCAGCTGCCTATCACCCGGCCCCCTGTTGTTTTTGCGTTTGCTAAACTTTCTGTGTGGGGCCATGAACAATTCATGGAGAAGTCAACTAAGGGCAAGGACGTACGTGCAGAGTGACCTCCACCGAAGTTTTAACAAAAATGATAAAGCAAAATGGCTTCACACTGGAATCTTTTTTTCGATAGGGCAAAAGCAAGCCTCACTTTGCAGCCATGGTTGTTCCGGTATGTTCTGTGGAGCATACGCCCCACGTGATGCAGTCTGTATGAAAAATACTAGGCTTGTGCTGAAATAAAACCCCACTCTTTTCTCTTCTCAGGTTGGTCTTTGGATAGAGGAGACGTTTACCCAGGAAAGAGCTTTCATTCAAAGGGGAAATTAAAGGAAGAAATCGCAAGGCGTTTGTGTCCTGAAGAAGCCGCCGAAACAGCTGTGGAGTGAAAGGGTGGACACCCGGGAGAAGCCGGGCTTGGTGTGATATTTTTGTCACAAAGGACTTCAAGAAGAAGAGAGAAGACACTCCTCAGAGAATGAAAGAGTCTAGCGTGAAAATGGAGAGTGGAGCTTCTGAGATTCAGATAGAAACGAAGGATGAAAAAGACCCAGGGGCTGTGTGTCCTCAGAAAGAGAGGCAGGAGAGGAACAGAGCCACGCTCTGCTTCAAGAGAAGGAAGAAAGCAAGCAAGATGAAGTCTAAGGTTGCTTCCAAGACTGCCGAGGAGACCAAGACACGTCCCCCAGAAGCCGGGGCCTCTGATCAGCCACAGCCAGCCGGGGCCTGGGCCTCCATCAAACGCCTTGTGACACCTAGGAAAAGGTCAGCGTCTTCGAAGACGCAGAAGCCATCTGCGGCTGAAGTGCAGTCCGAGGACGCAGCTCTTCCTAAGAAAAAGGCAAAATCCAGACTTAAGATTCCTTGCATAAGATTCTCAAGAGGGGCAAAGAGAAGTCGTCATTCTAAACTCACAGAAGACTCAGACTACAACATGGGAGTCCAGCAGAGAGGGGCTGAGGATTTGGAGATAAAACCCCAGACCCAGCCGGCTGACCTGACAAGCCAGGCTAAGTCTACACAGGGCCCAGTGTTGGTGGAAGAGGGTAAAGATGTCCAAGAACCGCAGGTCAGCAATGTCACATCTGGAGAGAATGTGATTTCTGTAGAACTGGAATTAAAAGATGAGTCTTCTGCTATTCAGACGGGAACTCCCGTGCTGGGAAAGGAAGCTGAAGTGATTAAGGAAAAGCCAAGTGTACAGGCGCAGCAAGCAAGTCCACTTGAGAATTCAGAAGCAGACAGCCCCTGTCCAGTGGCTTCTCGTGTTCCTGCCTCACCAGCCACTGCGTATCAACACAGTGTCGACAAACCCAGTGACAGCATCCGAGACCGTGCACCCAGTGCGAAAGATGACAGAAGTAGAGAAGGTGCTGCTGAAGAAAAGAAAGCAAGTGACATTGTGCAGGGCCAGGTGGAAGAAACCCCACTGAGTCAGGCAGAGGAAGCTGCTGTCAGCCAGGCAGACAAAAGTGCTGTGGGCCAGGCAAAGAAAGCTGTAGTGGCCCAGGAAAAGGAAGTTGTAGTGGCCCAGGAAAAGGAAGCCGTAGTGGCCCAGACAGAGGAAGCTTTCATGGCCAAGGCAGAAGAAACTGTAGTGGCCCAGGTGGAGGAAGCTGTTGTGATCAAAGCAGAGAAAGCTGTCGTGGCCAAGGCACAGGAAGCTGTCGTGGCCAAGGCAGAGGAAGGTGTCGTGGCCAAGGCAGAGGAAGGTATCGTGGCCAAGGCACAGGAAGCTGTCGTGGCCAAGGCACAGGAAGCTGTCATGGCCAAGGCAGAGGAAGCTGTCATGGCCCAGGCGAAGGAAGCTGTCGTGGCCCACACGAAGGAAGCCGTCATGGCCCACGCGAAGGAAGCTGTCGTGGCCCAGGCGGAGGAAGCTGTCATGGCCCAGGCAGAGGAAACTGTTGTGGCCCTGGTGGAGGAAACTGTAGTGGTCCAGGCAGAGAAAGCTCTCGTGGCCCAGGCGAAGGAAGCTCTTGTGGCCCAGGCAGAGAAAGCTCTCGTGGCCCAGACAGAGGAAGCTCTCGTGGCCCAGACAGAGGACGCTCTCGTGGCCCAGGCAGAGGAAACTGTAGTGGCCCAGGCAGAGGAAACTGTCGTGGCCCTGACAGGGGAAACTCTCGTGGCCCAGGCAGAGGAAACTGTCGTGGCCCAGGCAGAGGAAGCTTTCGTGGCCCAGGCAGATGAAACTGTCGTGGCCCAGGCAGAGGAAGCTGTAATGGCCCAGGCACCAGATCTGAAAGAAAATGGAATTGATACAGAGAAACCTAGATCAGAGGAATGCAAAAGAATGGAGCCAATTGCTATTATCATTACAGACACTGAAATCAGTGAATTTGATGTTAAGAAATCTAAAAATGTCCCTAAGCAATTCCTAATGTCAATGGAAAATGAGCAAGTAGGGGTTTTTGCTAATGATAGTGATTTCGAAGGGAGAACTTCAGAACAATATGAAACACTGTTAATAGAAACAGCCTCTTCCCTCGTCAAGAATGCTATCCAGTTGTCTGTAGAACAGCTGGTTAATGAAATGGTTTCCGAGGATAATAAAATAAATACTCTTTTACAGTGACTTCAATTCCCAGATCATGGGAAAGGAAAAAAAAACTTTAAAGATGAATTATTTTATACATTTGTGACACTTCTTTCTCAGTAATAAATTCCATCTGTGGAATTTAAAGGTACGGTTCCAACCCGGAAGGGCTGAAGAATAAATGAAGTTTATAAAACTCACCCAAACACAGTCGCTTCTGGCTGGAGGGAGACAGTCAGCACAAATCACAGGACGCAGTGACACACAGGAAGGTGCAGAAGTGACCAGTGATGAGTTCTGTGCTCTGAGGAAGACTACTTACTGAACACTTGGTATGCTTACGCTCCCTGCTGTTCCCCAGCGTCACGAAGTCTGGCTTTTTTCTGACGGGTCAACCCCGTGTAAAGGCGAACGCCGCCTTTGCTTTGCTTTTACAGTATATTTTCTCATGGTGAGTCAGGTGAGAGGGTTTCTAGTCCCGCACAAGCTCCTTCCAAAAGCCATTCCCAGGTTCCTTCAGCCAGGCGAGTGTTAACAAGTATGTAAGCGTGGCAACCGGGAGTGTGTTTTCTCACCCCGTCTTCTGCCCAGCAGACTTGTACATACCCATCTCCGTGTGGACTATCTGCTGAGACGTTAGAAACAAACACATAAAGGGAATAGTCTGTTTCATCCAGAAGGCAAACTCCCCAGATGACGGAGGATTCCCTCTAGCGGAACGACTTCTGGAGGCCCAGGAAAACCGTAATATCCTTCTGAAAGTGTTTCTTCTTGGCCAAACGTGAACTATGTATACGAGTGAATAAAAAGTCAAAATTCATGCTAAAGCATAGGTTTTCAACACCGGTGTTTTTCCGATGTGTCTAGCCATGATAGTGTAACATGCTTCCCAGCCCCGCGGGTTAGGGTTCATACTGTACAGCACCCTGCCCCACTCTCTGACCCAGTGATGATGTTAAAGGCAGTGCAGATGGGGGAGGGGGCTGATGGAGAGCATCCTCCGGAGGCGGGAGCTCCAGTGGTTTTCATCTGCCCTGCACTTAGCAGTAATGATGGCCTGCATATGTGTACATTGCTTTCTCCTGTCCTTTCAGTTTGTAAATACCTATTGTGATCTCTTACAGAAGTAACCAACGTGGCTTTGGAATTTAACCAAATGCTGGATGTTTAGCAAGATTCTTGGCTGGAATGTGAAACTCCTTTTTTCAGGCTTGCCTGTCTTTATGTTTTCAACAGGCAATGGGGGCATCATTCAATTTAGAGAGATAAAAACACACGACTGCCCCCCCCATACATTTCTTTTAATTGTGTACCTTTTAGACGTGAAACCAAATCACTGCTAAATCATCTTTGAGAGAATAACCCACTGTGTATGGTGCTAATAGACTTGTATAGCTACCAGCAAATATGTTTAAAATGAGCAGTTTTAAATGCCTGATTAAGGTTGGTGCAATTTGCAGTATTTTAAATAACCCTGTATCTATTTACTATTAGAATGGCTCCAGGCCAATATACTTGCATTAAAGTTTCTAATAATCTCTTATGAATGAGAAAAAGCTATAAAATATACAGCACTTAGCAATTAGTAAGGGTATTTTAGATTTGGGGATCTTGAAAAACGGAAAGTAACTACGTAATTTTGGAGGTAAAAAATTAGCCCCAAGTTTCAAGTTTTAGTGTGTGTGTGTGTGTGTGTGTGTGTGTTCCTTATACTGCTGTTTGATAAATACACCTTTGGTTAGGAGCCATTATGATTGATTGATTGTTTTTATAAGAAAATATATTCTTCTTCATTCTTAATTGGTTTCTCTGGCTTTTCTAGGGACTTAAAGAGCGTTTCTGTCTGGAAACAGGATGCAGAAATTCATCAGTGGGTTGCGATCTGATATATCTGCTATGTGGCCAAATTATAGAGGAATTTAGGGTGGTCCAAACTGTTCCATTGTTATAAAGAAAAAAAGCAGGAATCAGATAGCTTGGAAGTCTACTATAAAATATTTTATTATGACAGGATGCATTTCAAGCAGTTTGACCTTCTGTGAAAAATATGTAGAAAGATTCTGACTCAGTTTACACCCTTTTGGCCTTAAACCAACCAGTTTAAAGGAATCAATTTAGGCATCATTAATCACTCACAGGAATTTTAATTGAAATTTGCCTTTAATGAACATTTATCAGCTAGACTCTAATTTCTTTTTGAAGGCGGGGGAGGCTTATCAGCTACTTAACAATTTTTCAATATATTATCTTCACTTCCTTAAGAGTCAAGCATTATTCACTCCACTTACAAGACAGAGACTATGAGCACTTGCCAAGATGTGTGTGTGTGTGTGTGTGTGTGTGTCACTATTCCTTTAACATTTTTTTTTTCAAAGCACTTTTTAGGATATTAAAAATAGTACCTGGTAACATTTAAGTAAAGGTAGCAGAAAACAAAAGAACTTTCCAACAGAAATCATGTTCCTTGCCACCTCCTCCACCTCCAAGAATAAAGAGCAGGTAGCACGAACGGAGCTCTTCAGAGAAGCTGTCTGCATAATTCTCCTCCACGGCAATGGGCTTGACAGCGCCAAGATGGCAATGATCTTAATTGGTCTACTATCTGGTGGCATCTGAGACGAGGTGAGGCTCTTGGCCTGTGAGAAGGCCCTGGGCCAGCCTTGCCTGTACGCATGGCCCAGAGTTTGTTCCATCGGCAAATGTCTAACTTCAATTTGCCTTAATTTTTATAGTTGAGAATTTTTTAGGGGTTGTGTCAGACTTTTTAAAATAATTGTTAGACTTTCGAACCCTGTTGTTTGAAAAGATCCTTCTGTCGGCTTTACTGAGTAAGTGTGTTCTACTTCCTAGTTTAATACTAACTGCGCCAGGATTTGACTTTTCTGCCTGCCATTTTTGCATTTTTTTAATATCTTCATTTAAACTGTAGAGTTTCTTTAGGTTCAAATTCCTGTCTTACTGTGTAACAAAGTTTCTTATATGGAATTAAGATATTCAATCCATACTGCATTTTATCACATTTTTAACAAGAATTTTTTGTAATGATCCTTGACAAAAGTTTATTAGGATGAATCTACACAAAGTATGTGTCCCCCGATTAGGTTAGATCCAACATGTATTAGGCTTAACGCCTATCGATGTCTTGGTAGTAGGACCTCCCACAGCTCATCCTGGGCAGGGTGTGTGTATGTGTGTGTGTGTGTGTGTGTGTGTGTGTGTTGGAAGGAAAGAAGTGGCAACAGAAGCCAGGATGGGGAAAAGCAGCCACAGACAAAGCAAAAAGATAAATGCCAATCAGGGAAGTAGAAAGAGTGTTTCTGTCTGGAAAGGGGGACTGGGACCCGAATATAGTGGCAGTCTGAACACAAACACTGTATCCATTCTGATTTGTGACCAGGTGCAGGAAGAAGGCCTGTACAATGCCACACATGTCGGGTCTTTGCCATAGAAATGTTAAGTGGATGAGCCATTAAAAAGTAAGAGTAACCATTTTGTATCCTCATTAAAATTAGTATTTCTGTGAATCAGAGGCGCATATTCAAGAGAGAATATTCTGTAGAGAAAAAGTTTTCAAGTTGAATTAATTCATGTACTGACGAATACAGAATAAATGTTATATTAACTTATTTATTTTATCTGTGTCTTTAAAAAGGGATATGGTAACTTATATTAATTTCCTAAAACTGTAAAGATCACACTAATGAGAAAACTTAGTTCTGTAAAAAGTTCCACTCTGCTAGGGATTACAGAGACATTTCAACCCAGGCCTAAAGGAGTTCACCTCCAGCAAAGAAACGCAAACAAAACTCCGAACAGACACAACTGTAAAAACAGACCGTTCTGAATGTGATGCCATCTGAACCCAGTGGCAAAGCGACATGCTCAGTCCCCGAGACCTCAAAACCAAATCAAACAAACAAAAGGGAAGGTTTCACTGTTCCTTACCTATTGCATCAGTTGCTTTTCTGGGGCTTTTTGGCGGGGCTTGTTTGTTGTTTTTTTGAGACAGGGTTTCTCTGACTGTTCTGGAACTCACTCTGTAGACCAGGCTGGCCTCAAACTCAAGATCCAACTGCCTCTGCCTCCCAAGTTCTGGGATTAGAGGTGTGCGCCGCCACCACCCAGCCTGTCTTTTCTGTATTGTTAGTCTGTGAATTGTTAGTAATCCTTATGGTTTCATAACGAGCCACAGTGTGGAAGGGCTTACGTTAGCCACATGATATCAACTTCAGCTGCTTGTTTCACAGGTTTGATTTCCTAAAGCCCTCATTTCATTCTGCTCCCACTACTTCCATTGTACTGTAAGACAGGCAAGCCTTGAGCATCCTCCTGCCTCAGCCTCCCAAGTGCTGGGATTATAGGTGTGCACCATCACACCATTTAGTGGCGCTGACCCCCAACCTCAGATCCACATTTTACATCTGAGATTTATATACCTACCGCACGTGTGTTGTTGCTATGACAACATACCTGGAGAAAGCAACCCAAGGGGAGATTTATCTTGGTTCATGGTTTGAGGGGTACAAGCCATGGACTTCTTCAGGCAGCAGGTCACATTGCATCCACCTCAGGAAACAGAGAGGATGAACGGTAGCTCTCAGCTTCTTCTCTTCTGTCTGTTCAGCACAGGGCCCTAGCTCATGGAAGAGGGCCACCCATGGTTAAAGTGGGTCTTCCCACTCAAGTAACCTGATCCACATACTCTCTCACAGACGTGCCTAGAAGCTATCTCCTAGGTGTGGTCAATCAAAATTAGCGAGCTAGGTGTGGTGGCACATGTCTTTAATCCCAGGCAGAGGCAGGAGGATCTCTGTGAGTTTGAGGCGAGCCTGGTCTACATAACAATCCCAAGACAGCCTTTAAAATAAACAAAAAAAAAAAAAAAGGAGTAACTACCGCAAATACTGAGTATTTTTAGTTTACTATCCTTTCCTGTGATGGTAAAAATTGCTATTTATGCAGAAATTCAAAATAACAGTTTTTAAAAGCTCAGTGTTTAAACCAGGAGAGCCAGGCATGTGACACAACCTGTAGCCACTAATAAACTAATAAACAAAAATATGGCAGGAGAAAGCGGGCAAGGCTGGCACAGCCCACTGTGCAGCAGTGCAGCCAACCTCAAAAGTGTTCATTGGTGAGATTTTGTTCCCCGAGTTGTACTGAGTATAATCTCTGGCCATTGGGGTGTTCTGCGTGTAGACACTGGGGCAGGATACATCCACACGTGCCGAAGAGTGGGCTTTCGTGGCTTATACTTTAAAACACAGAAACAGGGAGCAGGAAGGACTGTGTGTCTGTGCGGGAGTGCTTGCCCAGCGTGGGTGAGACCGAAAGACCCTGGGCTTAATGCCCAGCTCTACATGAGGGGTGTGTGTGTGTGTGTGTGTGTGTGTGTGTGTGTGTGTGTGTGTGTATGTTACTCTGGGTGTGGTGGTGTCCACCTGTAATCCTTGCACACTGGAAGCATTGACACACAAGAAGACTGGGAACCCAAGGGGAAAAGAAAACCAAAAGTAAACAAATCAGGAAGCGCTGTGCTAACAGCACCTGAGCCCTCAGGCCTGGGGTGAGAGGGGGAGGGAGGGAGGGAGGGAGGGAGGGAGGGAGGGAGGGAGGGAGGGAGGGCAGGTTCAGCCTTAGAAGAGTTTTGAGTTTTCCCTCTCCCACCAGGCCTGTGGTGTGCATTAGAGAACTTTCTCTCTTGCCTTCATACTTTAGTCTACGTAGGACTTAGACTCTGAACAGCTTTCGCCACAGAAAACTGTGGCAGAGCTGAATTCCCAAGTTCCCTTCTTCAAAGGCCTATGAGGCACACACGGATCTCCCCTAAACCTTCCTGCAGGTCCAACAGCAGACAGCAGCAGGGATAAGGGCTGCCTGGATGTCCGGGCTCCTAGTACTCAGAAGAGAGGGGACAAAGATTGTACCAGAATTCTCCTACAGCACTGCCATCCCTTCGGGTTTCTGACAGGAGGGGCCACCATGGGATTGATAGTTTGAGGGATACTTTGTTAATTGATACCATATAGCCAAGTTGTTTCAACAGAAAAAGGTCTAACATGGTGTAAACACCTGCAGACAATTTATCTGAGGGAAGGCGGGGTCATTTCTCAAGAAAGCTCAGCTGTACAGAAACTTAGGCACTAGTGCAAAGCGGGAGAATACTAGTCATAACACTGCAGGCAGAGGGGGGCAGAGAGCTAAAAAAAAAATGGGGCAGCTGATGAGAGCTGAGACTATTAAAGGGGGACTTGGGTAGAAGTGAGGAAGGAGGGAGCCAAAGGGCATCCCTGCAGGGGTCAGGAAGTGTAGTTTTGAAAGGCCAACAGCTGACCTGCAGGTAGCAAGTGTGTGAGGAAAGGGAAGGAGAGGCAAGGTGAATACCAGGTCTGGCTTCTTTGAGGGAACGCCACACCGATTTCCAGGGGCTGTGCCGGTCTGTGAGCCCAACATCAGTTTCCGGTTCCTCTCCCACCTCTTGTTTTCTGGATGGTGGTGGAGAGACAGAGTCTCAGCGCGGCTTTCAGCTGTACCTGAGGAGTGGCTAAGGATGCCGAGCACTTTTTAATGTTCGCTAGTCATTTGTTCTTCGTCTTCTGAGAACTGGCTGTTTATCACAATTTCCATTAGCCCATTTCGTGACTGGATTGTTTTTGTTGTGTGTGTGTGTGTGTTTCACTTTTTGAGTTCTTTCTATATTCTCGATGGCAATCCTGTCAGATGCACAGCTATTTGGACTTCTCCCTCTCCGTAGGTTGCTCTTTACTCTTTTCCTTTGCTACAGGAGCTCCTCTTCCTCCCTCTGTGTTTTTGAGACAGGGTCTCTCTGTGTATCCCTGGCTGTCTTGGAACTAGCTCGGTAGACCACGCTGGCCTCGAACTCAGAGATCTGCCTGCCTCTGCTGGGTTAAAGGGGTGTGACACTATGCTTCGGCTGAGTAGGAGATTTTAAATCTCATGCAATCCCACGTGTCAGAACTGTTTCCTACCTGTACCTCTTCTGGGTACACACCTGAACAGTTCCACATCAACACACCATAGAGATACTTCTACATCCATGTTGGCTACAGCACAATTCACCATAGCCAAGTTAGGGTCCTTGGTGTCCGTCAATAAAGAAAATGTGTTAGACATACACAGAAGCTTCATTCAGCCAGAAGAACGAAACAGACGAAACAGTCATTTGTCAGAAAACGGATGCAACTGGATATTAAGCTAAGAAAAATAAGATGGATGCTGAAAGAAAATGAATGCTTTTGTTTCTCGGTTTCCTGCCTCATTCATAAGACATAAAAGGAAAGAGGTAGGTGATGTGGGTGTGGTGGCGCATGCCCTTAATGTCAGCACAGGGAGGTGGAGCTGGACGGATCCCGCTGTGTTTGAAGCCAGTCTGGTCTACATAGTGAGTTGCAGAATAGCCTGAGCTATATAACTGAGAGACCCTGCCTTAAAGATAGATAGATAGATAGATAGATAGATAGATAGATAGATAGATAGATGATAGATAGATGATAGATATGATAGACAGGTGATAGATGAATAAATACAAAACAACAACAAAAATTAAAAAGGAAACGAAACCGTGGGTGGGGGAGGAAATGGCAGAGGATGACTACATCAAAGCACATGACATACCTGAAGCTGACTTTATGAAACCCACACTATGTGCAATGAATATATGCCAATAAAAGAAAGGACCAAACAAGGTAGGATTTCCCTGAATGTCTCCACTTAGCTCTCTGAGTTCGATATATGATCAGGAGAGTCAATGTCACTGGACTAAAATCCCATGACCTTACTCTTAATGACATGCAAAAATCCTCAGGCTTGTTCAATGGTACAACCATAAGTGTGTTATATGTGGCTGTGTTTCTTGTAAGTCAGATGCACAGAGGGCTGCCAAGTCGCTGTTACCTAACAGAACTGACTGTAAGGTAAGGGAGGGTCCAGACAGAGTTCATCAAACACCAAATGAGCTGAAGGGTAATGCCCAAACAGGGAAGAACACCATTTTTATGGTACACTGGTGCCATCTTTTGGCCAGATTAAAATTCACACATTATAAATTACCATCATATTTTTCTTTTAACAGACTTTAGAGATACAATTACTTAATTTTGTTGTTATTGTTTTTTGTTTTGTTTTGTTTTTTCAAGACAAGGTTTCTCTGTAGGTTTGGAGCCTGTCCTGGCACTAGCTCTTGTAGACCAGGCTGGCCTTGAACTCACAGAGCTTCCCCTGCCTCTGCCTCCCCAGTGCTGGGATTAAAGGCGTGTGCCACCACTACCCGGCCAATTACTTACTTTAAACATGAGATTTAAAACTGTCTTGACCTAAAAGTGGAAGCATATGGCTATCATCCCAGAACTTGGGAGGCTGAGGGAAGAGGACTATGAGCTTGAGGCTGGAATTTTTGTTAATGAATACATATATCTAACTTTATTTTCCTTCTGCTGGTAGTGTGTTGTGTGTGCACTTGTCAGTGTGGGCAGGCGCATGTGCGCGTGAGGCTGCAAACGGGTCTTTCTTCACAGCTCTCACTGAATCAATGACCTTCAGGGATCTACCATGCCCCCCACCCCTCCACCACATACTACAGTTACAGGCCTGTGCAACAGCACCGGCTTTGTATGTGAGCCCTGGCGACACAAACTTGGGTCCTGATGCTTGTCAAGAGGCACTTTACCTACTCAGCCCTTCCTGCAGCTCTACTTCCGACTTTAATAATCCAATTTAACATCTTCTAAAGCTGAGATAAAGGAGAACATTAACAGAACTGACCGGAGTAAACATATCATGCATTCCATTGGATCGGTATTAAGTCCAAAATGACTAGACAGAAATCCACAAGCCAATATTCTGTTGTCACTAGATCAAGTGACATGTCTTCATATGAAAGATGAAAGTCAGTTTCCACTCCAGCTGGGAGACAAAACTCAGTAGAGCACTCCTGAGGCAATTTGTGGCACGTCACACGGAAGTAAAACCCTGCAGTGTATTGTCGTCCTACATCTGCTCTGTGTGCCCGATAACCTGAGGATTCTTTCATTAGGTCTTTTTAATTATAGAAGCTCTTAGGTTAGTTTGGGGCTTATTTTTAATTATGTGTGCACGGGTATGTGCACACACGATTACAGGTACGTCGGAAATTAAGGGTGTTGGATCCTCCTGTAGTTAAGATGCCTGATATGGGTGCTCAGTACAAATCTGGGTCCTCTAGAAGAGCAGTCAGTGCTCTTAACTACTGAGGCATTTCTCCAGACTCTTTTGGATTTTTTTTTTTTTTTAAGAAATAAGATCAGCCTGGCCTTGATCTCACAGTCTTACTGCTTCAGCTTCCTGAGTACTGGAAGAGATATGAGGTACCAGGCTGGGCCGGAGTTTCTTTTTGAGTAATTTAAGTTTCTATTCTGTTCTACTGTGGTGAGGTGACTATAGTTCATACACAGCAGGGGAGGTGAGGGCAGCTGCGCGCACACACACTGAAGCACAACGGACTCTCCCAATCTAGGATGAAAGTCAGTTCCGGATACTTGCATTAAGACACCCAGATTTAGGGCCAGTGACATACCAGGTTAAAAAGAAAGACCAATTACACAGACGTGGTTCAGCACAGAAGCATTTACAGGGTTCACTCCTAGGAATTTAGCAACTTATCATAATGAAATGCCACAGATAAAGTTTAAGCACAGGAAAACACACAGGTTACACTGTAAAAGTTCTCCACACGACCTACTTCTAGTGCGGTCACCACACAAACACCTATCAAGTCTTCGTCAGGAATCCGGTTTCCATATCAAGAACTGCCTGTGCAGACAGGCTGCAGGGTCTGTCCTTGCTCTTTCCGACCACCAGCAGCTTCCCTCAGTGTCCGGGAAGGCTTTTCCAGCGTTAGCTCAGAACCTTGCGAGCTCCTAGGTGGCGTCCTCATCCCACTTCTTTCCTCCGTCAACTGTTTAGACCATCTTCATCCAAGAAACGATGGGATTTTTTTCCATTTTATTTGTTTTTTTTTTTAATGGAAACAATGTATTTGGGAGAAAGTCTCATTAATACTGAAGTAGTGTATTTTATTCCCAACAATGCTAACCTTCCTTTTCCTTGCCGAAGAGTAGAAAACAGTAGAGTAAGAATTTACATAACACTGCTATTGCCAGAGTATTTTTGTAAAAACCAGTTTCCTCAGCTAATTGTCTAGTAAGTAGTACATGATAGCTTCAAACATGTTCTAGAATCTACAGGAAGAAATACTGACTAGGGCTCCAGCTATGGAGGTTTCCTCAAGGCTGGTTGCCATCACTACACTAACACAATTTTAGTCTTAAGCCCGACGGTACTGACGGTATCCCTGTGAGGTAGGTGGGTGCTGTTGACACCCACTTTACCTGGGAGGTCAGTCAGAGAAGTGAGTAACCATCTCAAGGTTATACAATAAAAACAACAACATTGGTTTGAAGGCAGACTGCATTTACTGGGCTCCCCAACTAAGAACAAATGCAGAGACAGAAAACACCATGACGCAGGATCCGGGGAGAAGAGGGGGTTTAAAGCTGGCCCGAGTGGAGAAGATCTATTAAAAATCTGCCTAATACAGAGCCGGTTGGTAAGAACCGGGTTTTTTTTCCCCCACCATGCCTTCAAAATGTGAGCCAGTAGAGATTATTTACCTCAACACAAGAGGGCGACATTTGGCAACTCCTGGTTCAACTTGGCAACCATTACACAAACCACACTGCTTAAGACAGAGACAAAGCTCCATTTTACAGATGTGGTAAAGAGCAAAGCTGTTTCTCTGGAAAAACTTTTAAAATATGAAGACTTTTCCCCATCCCAATGACAAGTCATGCCCTTAAAAACCAAAACCAAAACTACCCACGACCGTACACGTCTGCCATCCCAGCCCTTAGGAGGTTGACAAGGGACTGTTCTGGGCCAGCATGGGCCATACAGTGAGACCTTACCTCAAAAAGCCAAAACAGGCTGGAGAGATGACTAAGGGCACTTGCTGCTCTGGAGGAGAACCTGGGCTCAGTTCCCACACCCACTTGAGTTCCGGAGGCTCTGATGCCCTTTCCTGGCCTCCAGGGGACTGCATGCATGCTATGTACAGAAGACAGCAAAACACTCAACACATACCACATAACATAAAGATAAATAAATCTTCTTTAAAAATCAAAACAAAGTGACAGCAGATACCATCCCAGTGACTACAAGCCTCTGTAACAACTAGCTTTGGGGAACTTTTTCCATAAAACGAAACTAACATTTCTCCACTTCCTAAAACAATGTTATTACAGACTGAGTCAGGGTCTTGCCATGTAGCTCCAGGCTCGTCCTGCCTCATTCTACTGACAGCTAGGTTACAGATGGGCAAGACCAGCATTTTGTCATTTTGGTCTGGTATTAAAAGGAGCTTTGTAAATGAGAGGAATCGAGTAAAGCTCTTGGCACGAGAGAACTTTAAGAGCGATAGGAACCAGGTGAACTAATATTTTCTCCAAGCTCACAGACTTCCACTTATTCTGTTATGTGTGTGGGGGTATGCATGTGTGTGGGTGTGCACACATGTGTGGGCATATGTTGAGACCAGAGACTGGTGACACATCTTCCATAATCACTTCTCCACCTGTTTTTGAGACATGGGTCTCTCGGAACCTGGAGCTTATCTCTGCGGGGCTGGCCTGAGAGCACCTGCTGCCCGCCTGTCTCTGCTCCTCTACCAGCACTGGGACAAGAGGCGCCATACCTAGCTCTCACCTCAGCTTCCAATCTGTGAGCAGCGATGACTTTACTCCCCAGACTCTAGGTACAATTCCGTTTCATTGACTAACATGTTTACTAACTCTTCTGCATATGGTTCTGTAAGCCGAGACTGCTCGTTCATTCCCCAGCTGCCCAGAGCCGAATAATCACACAGAAACTATACTAATCACAACACCATGTGGCCAATGACTCTAGTGTATTCCTAGTTAGCTCTTACATCTTACATTAACCCATTTTTATAAAACATATTCACAGCATAGGGGGGAATCCCACATCAGAGTTCCACTTTAAGTAGAAGTGTCTGACATGGCCGTTAGCTGTAGGCAAGCTCTGTCAGCATCTCTCCTGACTGTCTTGAGCTGCTGCGCCCTTCGCCTACCCTGAAAGCCTCTGTTCCCACCCTCTGGCTATATAAGGGCCTCTTGTGTGTAAGACTGATGACTCGGTACGCAAGGAAGATTACAGAAAAGATTTAAGTGAGAATTGTTAGGTTCTTTTATATTTGAGAAGGCTAAGGAGAGTTGGGCATGGGGGGGGGGGGGGGGGGGGGGGGGGGGGGGGGGGGCACAACTATAGTGCCAGTGCCTGGAGGAAGAGCAGGCAGATGGTTTAAAACCATCTTCAGCTATATAGTGTGTCTGGGGCCAGCCTGGGCTAAACATGACACTGTATCTTAAAAAAAAAAAAAAGAAAAATTGAAAGTAGGAAATATATCCTAAATAGTTTAAAATATATTAAATTGGTATTTGAGTTTCTATAAGGTTAAAGGTTAAATCATTTAAGGTAGTATGGCTGAGTAGTGCTTTAATGAATTAATAGTGTAAGATTATATATAATTGTAATCCCCCCAGACATAACAGCATACTTGTTTAACCAACCCCTCTAACTAGATTTTGCTCTCTACACATGGGTCTTGAACCCAGAGACTAAGTCTCTAAATCAGAAATTCAACTGCCTTAAGACAACACTAATGGGGTTCTTCACCCGGCCCTCAAGTTACCACTCTGAAGCCTGGCTGGTGGTACAGCCCATAATCCCAGCACTAAGAAGGCAGGGGAGGAAGATGGTGAGTTCAAAGTCAGCATGAGCCATATAGCAAGAATGTCTCAAAAACTAAAGACAATGAAACTGCTACTTTGATTTGGTATGTGGTTTGCCTGTGTGATTTTTGTCTGTTTGAAACAGGGTCTCGCTATGTAGCTAACTGGTCTAGAACTCTATAAACCAGGCTGGCCTTGAACTCACAAGAGATCAACCCCATGAGTTCTGGGCCGAGAGGCAGGCAACAGTATCTCTGAAACCACTGCTTCATTATTCGTCTGAACTCACTGTTTACCCAGAAAGGACTTTTGTTTCAGAATTAGCTGGATTACTCTAGGCTCCCCACAGACAGGGGGGAAGAACCTCTAAGAAATGTCTTCAGAGGTGTTCAATCGGGGCAGGAGCAGTTCAGACTTTGCATGTGGCTAAAATCTAAGCATCACGTTTATTAGATGTATTCAAACACCTGTGAGATGGCACATGCCCAAGGTCCTGGCTACTTGGCAAACTGAAACAGAAAACTGCTGTGCCCAAGAGCTTAAGGCCAACCTGGGTCACATACCGAGACTGTTTCCAAACTAGGGGGCGGGCAGGGATCAGGACCATCTCAGGTGTTCTTCAAATGTCTATGAAGCTTAGGCTGTAATAGGATAGGGGAAGGAGGAGGGCTCTTCTGCAGTCTCTCTTGCCTTCTTATCCTTGACTGCAGAGCTTCAAATTTAAACACTTCAGAAACAATGAAATTTGATGGGCTATGTTTTAGGTACAGTAAATCCATCACTTAGTCCATCAACTTCAATTTTTCTGGGGTTTTAGGTTTCTGAGTGTCACCACTATAGAAGAGAAGTTAAGTATATTCACAAAAGGGGAGCTGCCAGCGTGGGTTTTAAATAGGCCTGGAACACTGGATGTATCTACTTCACTGGTTTTACTAACAGAAGAAGTGAAAGCCAGCCACACTATACTGCAAAATTACCTGTAAGAGTGACTTTCAGAAAATTACCATCAACCCAGACAGCCTAGACAATTCTGCTGCGTTAAGCTAGAGAGATGGTTTGTATCTTATTTTTCTCTTCAAATCTAGGTAAACCTCTGGCTATAGAAATCTGAAACTGCCCTTGGGTGTGTAAAGACACAGTAGCTGTGCTCGCTGGCCCAGGGACGGTTCAGAGCCCGCCTCTGTGCTTGGATATATGTATGAACTGGTTTCTCTGTCCAAGACTTCCTTAGCACTGGCTTCTCCAGTCCTTTCTTCTAGCTGGAATATTTTTTATTAAAAAATGAGGTATACTTGATGTTAATTAAATAAGAGGCCATGTAAGAGGCTGGGGTACTAGGAAGCAGATAGTTAAAACTACTCGTGATTTGGTATAGCCATGTCTTAGAACATTATAATATACATTTATACATTATAATATATAGTTATACATTAAAATAACTACTGATTTCCTATATGTCAGAAAATATTTAGAAGTCATTTTCATGCAGACATAATTCATATGAAACATGAGACAAGAGTGACGGTTTGAAGTGCGTTTGTCTGTGAGCACGTGTGTGCGCTGAAGACTGAGCCTAGAGCCTCACACATGTAGGCAAGCCCTCTACAGATGAGCTTCACTCCCGGCCTCTAAAACATTCTTTAAAACAGATCTCATCTGCTTCATATGCAAGTTCATCTTACTGACTCTGTAACCTGGAAAAACAAGATATTTTATAAATAATCAGTCACTTTGAAGTTTATACATTGTCTTCTGATTTTCAAATTATCATTTAATTTATAGAAAAGTTCATAGGGTAATTGGAAAGTTACATTTAATAACCATGTCTTATAATAAGAACTGGTATGTAAACCTTAAAACCAGGGACAGATTATTTTAAGTCAACAGACCATGAGGAAGTAAATAATTTATGAATTTAAAATGTCGTATGAATCTTTTCCAAGACTGGTATAAAAATTCTAAAGGAGGAGCTGCTACTCAACAAGGATGGTATCCACACTTCCTGGTGTGAGCTCCGACTCTAAGGCACAAGGCAAGTCTAAATGTTCTTGTGACAAGCGAGAACTTTTCAGGGGGACATCGGGCCAGCTGTCACAATACTGCTGAAACTTCTGGGCCAGTGAATTCCCAAACCTTTGGCACCTGTTATATCTGTAAGATTTACCTTTATGTGTATACATGTGTTCCAGTAACTGGCTCTTTCGAAGAAATTTATGACCACAGATGGTACAACTGATTTTTCTTTTTCTTGAAAAAGAAAAATTACAGTTTAATTCTACTGGCTCTGTGTCTTTGGAGATCAAAGACACTTGACTGATCTGTAAAGGCTCCACGGGACCCCGGCTTGAGTGCTCCAGCGGTGGCTGCTGCTGATCCTTCTCCTTGACAATGAAGGAGCTAAGCCTCCGGCAGTCAAGAGCCTCGCTGCTGTCACTAAGTGGATGCACTTCACCAAGGTCATTACTTTCCAAAATGGAAGCAGGGACACCAAACGGGAGAGATCCAGACACATGGGTATGGAGGTGCTGTCTCAGGTTACCACGGGATTCGAAACGCTCCCCACAGTAATGGCATAAGTGGACTTTGATATTGTTTTCTGTAAAAGAGGGGCCAGTCACTTCTGATGAGGACGAGGAGAGGCCTTGGGAGATCGCAGACTCTGGATCACATCTCTCCTGTTTGATGGACACCGGGGGCTTCTGGTGCTCCTCCAAGGCCTGGGCAGCAGGATGGGCCCTCTGCTGCTCTGCACTCCCATCGTCCAGCCCAATCGCAAGGGAGAGCTGCAGCTGTGGGTGGTCACCTTGGACAGCAGCTCTGTTCCCACTGCTACTGGGAGGGGTTTCTTTCATCTCCAGCCCTTGTTTGACAGCTGTTTTCTGGGTTGTTGAAATCTGAATACCATAGAGATTTGAGGTCTGCACAGTCTCTGGTGAGAACACTTGATTCACTTCAGTGGCAATGTGGGAAAGGTAGTCGGCATGGAGAAATCGGATCCCTTCCTCCAAACGACTGTGGTCCACCATCTGTTTGGGCCCTTTTCCTGTGTACATAATGTGCAACAAGTAGCTGAATATATCAGGCTGGATGTCAGTTGGTTGTATTTTTATGCATTCACTGTTAAAACAAAAACAAACTCAATGAAATGAAACACAACCTAGTTGGCCTTTTGGTTTCCAGCAATCTTAGGTTAAGACAAATTCTTCATGAGGTTTAAATCTGGCAATCTGCCTTGATGAAATATAGTAACAAGGAATCAGTTTCTGATCCTAACTGCTTTTATGGTCCATCCACAAACCTTTGTGCATCCAATCTACTGGCCAGTAGGAAACACAGATGTATACTCTTAGTGCAACACTGAGAGACGCCTAAGCAGTAGCATCTGTTCTAGGTGAGAGGACAGAAAACTAGAGACTAAAACAGGTGCTCTGCTTTTACACTGAACACATTAAAGGAACTAAATACAGAGACTCAAAAGGACACTTACATGGTGGTGTTCAGAGCAGCATTGTTGACAGTAGCTACAGCTGGGAACAACTAAATATCCACCAAAAGATGAATGCAGCCGAGTGCAGTGGGATAGCCTTTAATCCCAGCACTGGGGAGACAGAGGCAGGAGAGTCTCTGAGTTTGAGGCTGCCCTGAGCTAAGTAGGTTCCAGAACAGTCAAGGCTGCTAGACAGACCCTGCCTCAAAAACAGAGGGAAAAAAGAGATAAATAAAATGAGGCTGTAAATACAATGGTATAGGGCTGGAGAGATGGCTCAGCGGTTAAGAGTATCACCTATTCTTCTAGAGGTCCTGAGTTCAATTCCCAGCAACCACATGGTGGCTCTCAACCATCTCCAGTGGGATCTGATGCTCCATCTGGCATAAAGTTAGGCATGCCGATAGAGCACTCATGCATAAAATAAATAAATAAATCTTTAAAAAAATACAATGGTATATTATTCTACCATAACAAAATAAGGAAATTCTGGTGTGTTATAACAAGGTTGAACTCTTAAAAACAAGCTAAATGAAAAAAGTCAGGCAAAAAAGTTAAAAAATTGTATGGTACCATGTTCATGAAATAGCTAAAACAAAGCTGGGCATGGTGGCACATGCCTTAAAATCCCAGCACTCATCAACAGCCACGATACAAGAAGAAGCCCTGTCTCAAAAAAAGAAAAGAAAAAAGAAAAAAAGACAAGACAAAAAAAAAACCTGAAAGAAAAAGAAATATCTAGGGCAAACACATTTAAAGAAAAAGAACTAGGCTGGAGAAATGGCTCAGTGGAACAAAAAGAAAAAAAAAATCGCTGTTCTTCCAGAAGATCTGGTTTCATTCCCAGCACCCATATGTGACTCACAATTGTCTGTAACTCCAGTTCTAGGGGACCCAATGCCCTTTTCTGGCTTAGTGGGCATCAGGCATGCAACTGGAGCACAGACATACATGCAGGCCAAACAACCATATACAAAGGACAGAAATGTATGGGGTTGGGGAAACCTACAGTTAGACAAGGGGTAGTTACAGGCGACTGAAGGAAAATGGAAAGTTACTGCTTAAAGGTACAGTGTTCTGTTTAGGGTGATGAAAAGGCTTTGGAAACAGTGACAGTTTCAGGTAGAACATTATCAATGTAATTACTGCCATTAAGTTGGATGATTTAAAACTGTTAATTATAATGAGACCCTACATCAAAAACCAAAACCAGGGCCTGGAGAGATGGCTCAGCGGTTAAGAGCATTAACTGCTCTGGCAGAGGACCTGCTCACAACATGCAGGCAAAAAACTCATAGAAATAGACAAACAAAATGACAATCAAACAAACAAAAGCAAACCAAACCAAGTATTCACATTTTTAAAGGAATAGAATAAAATTGTTAAAATTTAAGACGTAAATGATGCTAAGTTTATTTGGCTTCTAAATCTTAACCACTGAGCCATTTCTCCAGCCCTGGCTTCTAAATCTTTAAATCACAAATGAACACAGGTATAATTTTGAAAAACACTATAGTAATCTCAAATTCAATCTGGCTACTAGACAGAAAAACAGAGTAAAGCTCTGTAAAGTTAGAGTAGAAACAGCTAAGGAAATCATGCTTGTGCAGAAGCATGGACAGCATCAGTGGACTCAGTTTCCCTGAGCAGATGTTTATTCTCAGAGTCGGGTGCACTGGGATTCAGAATATTGCAATCCAGTTTCTCTATCCCCAGGATCTGGGGATCCCTGCTTCCTCTCTTAGGTTTCATGCTTTTTGTTCTGCGCTGTCTATTAACTGGCATGTTTGGGGATATAGGCATTTTTGGGGATATAAGTTCAGAATTCTGTTATGTGGAGTTTAGCTGCTTAACACAAAGACAACATAGGGCAGGCCTCACCTTTCCCAATGCCTGTGTTTGGACAGCACCTAGCTCACAACAAGGGCTTCATTCAGATGCTCACTGCTTCTAAACTCACAAGTCACAGCTCAAAGGCTGAGGGGTGAATGTGATCTACAGTGCCACAGCAGATACAAAACTCCTCTAGCAGAAAGGACTTCCCATTACCTGGCTAACATTCCGACCCCATCTTTGCACTGTGCCACACTTTCTGATCACCTCATCTACTCTGTTGACTTGGTGACCACATTTGCTTCATACCTATAAATGTTTTTATACCACTTTTCTTTCATTTTGATTTTTTGAGACAGGGTCTTACTATGTAGCTCAGGCCTGACATTTACAATATAGCCCAGGCTGGCCTCAAACTCAGTGATCCTCCTGTCTCTGTATCTAAAGTGCTGGGATTACTAGCTTTAGCTACCTAACCTCGATCCTTGCCATTTCCCCTCTGATTGCAATACATCCTATATTATTCCTCTGCAACACCTGAAGGGCTCCCAATTTCTCAGATTTGTAAAGTCTGTTCCAAACGTCTCAAAACAGGCCTGCTAGAACTCTTTCACTTTGAATATACCCTGACGTTAGACACCACATTAGTAACAGCAAATCTCTATTCCTACGCACTTTTCCCCCCAAGACATGGTTTCTCTCCATAGCCCTAGCTATCCTGGAACTTGTTCTGTAGACCAGGATGACCTCAAACTGGGAGATCTGCCTGCCTCTACCTCCCCAGTGCTGGGATTAAAGGCATGTGCCACACCTGGCTGTTCTAAGCATTTTAATTTTACTAATCCATTTAATCTTTCAATACCCAAAAGGAAAGTACACTATTCCAGCATTTAACAGACAAGGAAGCTGAGTGTCAGGATGCCAGTGTGAACTGTCCCTTCAAGGCTCATGTGCCGACTTGGTAGCCAACTGATGGGTTTTGAGGAAGGGACTGAGTCATGAGGACTCTGGCTTCATCAGTGTATTAATCAGTCCACGCATTACTAGTAGGTGGTAGAAACTAGGAAATGGGGCCAAGGTGGAAGAAGAGTTACTAAGAACATATCTTCCAGGGCTACTCTCTGTCTGCACTGTTTCTGCTTTCTTCCTGCCTACTAGGAAGTGGGCAGCTTTTCTGTCATGCCCTCTGCTTTCCTCAGGTTTAACAGCAATAGAGTCAGTCAGTCAGCCGACTAAAGCGAGACTGCAGCCAAAACAAAACAAAGCAGGATGTTCTCAAGTTCAAGGTCCTCCTGGGATACTGAGTGAGTTCAAGGCCAGCCTGGGCAATTTAGTGAGATGCTATCTCAAAATTTATAAATAAACAAAGAGCTAAGAATTTGAATTCCCGGGCTGGAGAGATGGCTCAGAGGTTAAGAGCACTGGCTCCTCTTTCAGAGGATCCAGGTTCAATTCCCAGCACCCACATGGCAGCTCACAACTGTCTGTAACTCCAGTCCCAGGGAATCTGATACCTTTACACCAACTCACATGAAATAAAGTTAAATAAAATTATTTTTAAAAAAAAGAATTTGAATTCCCATGTTACCTAAATTTTAAAAAAGGCAAAGGATCAAAAAGAACAAACCAAACAAACATGTGAAGCAATGATCTTGGCTGGTGGTATGGAATGTGATGGCAGGCTGTGACACTGCAGTGTAGCCTGGCGCTTACAGCAGACGGTGAGCTTCAGACAGAGCTACACTGTGCCCAACTGAGCACCTGGAAAACAGTGGAGTACGCAGCATTACAGGATTAATGTTTGGGCACTGGCTAAGCCTTTTTTGTTTGGGATGATTTTTCATGATAGGGTCTCATTAGGTAGCCTTGGCTGGACTGAACTCACTATTTAGCAAGTTGGCCTCAAACTCAGAGATCCACTTGCTTGTCCCTCCCAAGCGGTAAGATTAAAGACTTGCACCACCACACCAGGCTGGGCCAAGCCCTAATCAATTTTGGTTTTACTTGTTTTCATTAATATGTTCTACCATAGATACTATATACTGAGATAGATCAATTACTCATATATAAAGTTATTATAATTAAAATTTTGTATTAGCTACCCCATAACAGTCCCTTAAATGATATTATAGTAAGACATGTATCACAATATTAGAAATTCTTCCCATTTACAAGAGCACATTCTTACCTTGTTTGGTGAATAAATATCATCTTGAAATAGTTGGAAAAGGCAGCAAGTACCGCTCTGTGGGCTTTGAAGTAAACATCTCCAATAGCAACTGTGCAATCACACAGAAAACCAAATTCTCGCTGCATGTTCAGCTGTTGCAGAAGGACAAGACTATGGCTAGCAGTATCCATTGTGGCTCTGAGAAAAATCAGATGTATAGATGTGTTTATACATATCTAAAAATACTTATACATAAGTATCTATTACATATACATATATTGACACACAAAACTAGTTACAGTTCACACAAACCTAGGGCATTAAGGCCTAATTTTAAATGAAAATACTGTTAACCTGACACCCTATCTAACATCAAACCCTTCCATTATGACAACTGAGATAAACTCTATTGAACTGTATGACACGGCTGGAGAGATGGCTCAGAGGTTAAGAGCATTGCCTGCTCTGCCAAAGGCCCTGAGTTCAATTCCCAGCAACCACATGGTGGCTCACAACCATCTGTAATGGGGTCTGGTGCCCTCTTCTGGCCTGCAGACATAGACACAGACAGAATATTGTACACATAATAAAAAAAA